TTTTTAGGGAATAAGCCATCTTAATTAATCAAGCAAAGTAAATAAAACAAACAAAACTATAATATTAAAACTTAAGAGTTGGAACGAGTTTACCGAATTGACGAACAACTTGTTGAAAAATAATTATCGTTGAACACTTGAATACTTCAATTCACCAACTTCACAATTTTGCACAAATTATAACAATTAAGTAAGCAATTATAGAAGAATATTAGAGAGAGATTGATGATTTTGTGAGAAAAATGAAAGAATGAGGGGGTATTTATAGTTGAAAATAAGGAAAAAGTGTAATTATAAAAAGTTTGGGGTTAAAACAAAATTTGGGGGGTTAAATGGCTATTTTGGCAGACCAAACGGCTAGTTTTTAAATGGCCAAACGGTCAATTTTATTTTTTTTTAAAAATTATCCGTTGGGCCCGTTTATGACCGCTTGAACCGGCCCACTTCTGAGCCGGTCCCGGTCCTAAACGGTCCCAGTCTCGCGGGCCTCCCCTATGAGACCGGCCCACTACCCGGCTCACCACCCCACGGTCCCGGTCCTATCTGGTTAGGACCGTTTAGGACCACCGCCCATGTGGGCTTGCGGTCCTGGGCCGGTCCCGGTCCTAACCGGCCCACTAGCCACCGTTATACCAAACACACCCGAGAAGTCTCTGCGTATGGATAGCAAATACAGAAAATACCCATAGAAAGGATGATAGGTCAAAATTGTATTTTCTTTAAATGAAATTGGGTGATTTTCGACCAACTTCAGCGGATTCTAGCAAGAATGATATTTTAGGAAATAAAGTAAAAATTGAGTGATTTTATTGTTAGAAAAATAAATTTAGCGATTTTACGGCAATTATATTATGAATTGAGTGACCTTCTTCGCAATTAATACTTGAAAAGTGATTCCATATCCATACCATATCAATGAAGGTTATTATTTGTTCTTAAGATAATTACTGACTTCAACTCAATTCATACCATACTTTATTCTATTTTCTAAAAATAAATGGTAACCAATTCTGTATTATTCAAGGAACATGGACGGGGATCTTGTGCGTCTGCTCTGCACCAGGCCCATAGACATGAGCCAGGAATTTGGTATGGCAACTGGTGGTGGGGACCAATGAGACCATGCAGATGCAGAGGCGGACCCGGGAGTTGAATGCGGCGGGGACACATGAGCGAGTGCAGTACCCCAATCGGACTTTTGATCGTAAGTGTTCCAAACAAAATATATAACTATTTTCAATATATATATACACACATATATATATTCGAAACTTTTGTCGAAATTAACGGGGTCCGTTAACACCTTAGAAGTCGTCTGAATTCGGATAATGAAAGTGAAACATCCCATGAATGTATGTCAGCGCCTTCTTCAGTCTTCTTCTTCTTCCAGCACACTAACACTCTGCTGTTTCGAATCTTAAACCCCCATAATCCGTTTGTTCTCATAATGAATTATTATTATTATTATTATATAGTATTACTTATGTCCATAAGTAGTATTATAACAGACAATTACTCCTATTATTTACATCCATTGAAAGTAGTACACGCTCATACCTTGGATTGCTCTGTTTTTACTTTGGACTATTTTCATTATTTTTGGATTGTTTTCATTACTTGTATCTACAAAAAGCAATATACACTCATTACCTATATCAGTAAAATGCAATTTCCGTCTCTTGAGCCAGTTAATTGGGCAAACACTTCATAAAATTTTGCTTGACCAACATTTCCAGTTATATATCTTGGACCAGAACAAGCACTAGTAACAAAGTTTACCTGACTGATAGATGGAGTTCTACTCCAAATTCCTTGGGCTACACAAGAAATTTGTTTTGTTCTACGATTGTCCTTATAAAGCCCACGCAGAGTGACTTTATAAAAAAATAAAAAAAAGATGTCGAGAAAAAGTCTTAGCCCCTAAAATGCATTGCGAAGAGAGATCTCGCTGATATAAAAAAGCGGAAGATTCAATCCAGTCCTTCTCTGACGCAGTGCGGGCACGGGATTGAAAAGACAAACAAAGGAACAACCCACCGGATGGACATACCTCTCTTCAATTACTGTTGGGATGGGAGGGAGTAGGTCTTGCTTCATATTTATACACCTATAACCCCAAAACTGACTCTAAAACTATATGATATGGATATTAAGAAAAGAGGCATGCAAACCAGGAGCTTCAAGCAGCTAGCTAAAATGGAAACACACAAGTGTGTATATCCACTCTCAAGTATACTGTGGCGAGAAAGGGCTTTGCAGAATACACACACAAGAACAGTAAAAATGTTGAACTTTAATTTTCATTGCTACCCTTTTACCATATCAATTGTGAGTATCAATAGCTGCATAAGATTCAGTGGGAACAAGCCACTGGAGCTACCACTTTCATATTCACATTATAAAGCTGTATATGGGATGGGAGCCTTCAGTCCAGAGCCATCTAAAACTGTATGTAATATGACTATGCCTACGTACAGTCAAATAATATCATTCTCATAAGGTTAAGCCTTGGGAATTTATGTCACAAATTCTACAGTCCTTGTTATGAAAAAGATGCTATTCAATTAAAAGACCAAAACAGATGAAAGGGCCAGTCTTTGAAAAAAAACCAGGCAGTATAAAACATCAGGAATGGAGGAGGAAAAGATGTGAAACTGAAAATAAAGAACAGTTATAAGTTTAAGAAAGCAGAAGTTTTGCACATCTTACTGGAGGGGTGAGACCAAATTATGGCAAGAATCAGAAACTTATTATAATTCAACCTTGTAAAGGATCTAAAAGCCATTTAACTGAAGGTGTGGCCATTGGAACCATGGGAGACCAGAAAAAAGAACTACATGACTCTTCTCGTCTCTCTAAGCCTTAATGGATATAGCTATCCTGCACATGTACAAACAAAAGGATGCAAGTATACTGTGGAATAGTCGAAGTGTGTGTAAAGAGACCCTGACACCAATGTTATCCAAAAAAAAAAAAAAGAGATCTAAAAGACTGGTATGGCCAACAAGACTGAGTTACTTAGTCATGAAAACTAAAAAGGTTGTCCCAGCGGCAGCTAATTCTATATAATTTTTAATTTTATGAAAGTTTCTGCTAAAGTGCTGACTCATTTATTCAAGGGAAAAAGGAAGGATGCGCAAGATGGCTTTCCAGAAAGAGGGAAATATCCCAACTTCATGTTCATCCAGAAATTGGTTGTTTGAGAGTAAAAGAAATCACCAATTAAACTTCTGCAGTGTTTCCTTTAATCTTTATAATAGTTAGTTAGAAGTCAACACGGACTAAATAGAAATTAGAGATAAACTAAATTTTCAGACTGACAGAATCCTCAATTTCACTGCTGAATAGATGGTCATAGACACAAAAGAAGTGCATAATTCCTTTCACACTTGCTCTTTGCTAAACCACTCTTGACAGTACTCGTTTAACTAGTTGATGCAACTCATAACCAAGAGTATTCCAGAGGCAATCAGTTAGTACGTACAAAAGTTAATAGCAAGACTTCAGTTTCCTCTAACTGTTGCTGTCAATCTAGGATGTGCTAATAGTTTTACCATTTTCAATTCAGGCATAGAGGGCCATCCAAATAGAGCGACGAAGTTTTTATGTGATGTGGATGTTAATCAAGTTGAAGAAACAGAAATCAGCTGTGTTGAATTACTACAAAAGAAATACCAAGACTAGTCAGGTCTTCATACACAATGTTAAAAAACTGGTTTCATGCACTGCCACAATTCTTACAACTGGTTTTCTTTGACCGGATTAATATATACAGACTCGGAAGGAGAAACTGTCATCCCAGTCAATCCAAGAAGGTGCTAATGAAGAAGACACTGAACAAAGAACAGCACAGATGTCAATACATGTTCAACATAAACCCCTCCCAAAAGAAATTTGAAATGACATATAAGTTAACTTCGTAAATGACTTCTGAAAAAGAAGCAACTTTTGATGGAAATGAATTTACTGAACATCTTCAATGAAATCTCAGATACGGACATCAAAATATGACTCTGGAGAGGCCCAGAGGGTAAGACTTCACTGACGAGAAATGAGTCTCGAACTTTATATGAACGCTGAAAAAACAAGTGCCAACATTAAAGTAGACCCAAACAAAAAAGAGAGGAAAACCCACCTTAAGGGCCACAGTAATATGATGTTTCTGACAAGCTTGAGATAAGCCCATTTGATGAGAATCAGATATGAATCCATGGTTTATAGCCACAGCAATTCTGCAACAAATCCACAAAGTTATTGTGTCTCCAGTTAGAGAATATGATCTATATAGTCGAGGCATTATCGAATCTTGTGCATCAGTTCAAAATCCGAATGAACAATAGGACTCAGGGAACCAACTCAATTTTCATGGATCAAATCACAGAAAACAAAGACACCCAAAATGAAGACAAAATTCAAAACAACTCCCATTACGTCATTATTTTCCTAGTATAACTGTACAACAACAACCCAGTATAATCCCACTAGTGGGGTCTGGGGAGGGTAGTTTGTACGCATACCTTACCCCTACCCTGGGGTAGAGAGGCTGTTTCCGATAGACCCTCGGCTCCCTCCCTCCAAGAACTCCCTACCTTGCTCTTGGGGTGACTCGAACTCACAACCTCTTGGTTGGAAGTGGAGGGTGCTCACCACTAGAGCAACCCACTCTTGTCTCCTAGTATAACTGTATAATTTGTATTTAAAACGCACATATGCACCAATATATAAGAGGAAATATAGGCATCAGATAGTTCAGAAATTTGCAATATATATTACTGATTTACATTTAAAGAGTGTCGATATCAAAGTGCATTAGCTTTTCAGCAGCTCTGTTGTACATCTTCAACAGAAACAGCAGTTTCAGTCTGCTGTCAATTTTCAGTTGTGAACTTGTGATACAAAGCTGTATTGAACACTTGCACTAATGTATGATCACTAGTTCATAAAAAGCCCTGAGTTTACCAATAACGCAAGGACGGTCACCTATCTATTATAGAAAGACAACCTAAAAGTTAAAATCATGTCCTCACTCAGCCATGTAGAACACCACTACCCCATCATTCAGTGCTCAGCAATTGAAAGACGGTGTTGTCCATAAGTTCTTCCATTCCCCTGCAAATATGTCCACACGCACATTCCGCACTCAGGCAAAGGAAGCAAAACCGGGAATCCTCAAAACTGAACTGATCTAGCGGAACCATCAAACCCTTGGGTTTAACATTTAATACAGGTTTTCACATGATTAGGACAACAAATATGTACCATAACTCATTCCAATCAGTCATCACTCTCATTGAGGCGATTAATGGCAGGAACTCGTTGCTTCCTCTTGCTTTTTGTTGAGAATCTTGCTGCAGATACACTCAGGAGTTTATTGAGCGACATGCCTTCACCTAAGATTTTTTTCTTCTCCTCGTACCTGTGTTTAATCCTTCCGTCAAGCTTGTACCCAAGAAATGCAGGAAAAGCCAATAGTTCGCCAACTTCACGACCCATCTCCTCAACCAAGTAGTCCAGCTTCTCCTCCAATGACTCATGATTGTACTGTAATACCTGCGGATGCTTCACGCTCATCTCCAGAATGTCATCAAAAGTCAAGCCGTAGTTCAAAAATACCCCAATAAGCTCTTGCATATTTTTGCAGCTAGTCCTGGTAACAGCTCCCATTGCCATTGCCAATTCCTTGGTATTATTCTTATATCCAATCTTCACCAAAAAGACCAGCTTGAAAGCAAGATTTCCCTCAAATGACAGACTTAGAAACAAAGGGGCTTTTATTAAGAACCTGAATATATCATGTGAACTCAACCCACATTGCTTAAGAAAATCAATTCGAGGATGCAATTTCCTTTTCCTGCTGGCGCTAAACATATTGGGATAAACTAGAACAATTCGAAAAATCTCCTCCTCACTTAATCCAGCGAATGATTTGAAGAACTCTACATGATCTTTTAAGTGGTCAACACTGTATGCTACAACAAATGGCAACTTACGCAACACGGTTGCAGTTCCAGCCTCATCACCTCCACTCAGCTCGAATAGGAACCCTATCCTGGGAATCAACTGCGCGTCAAGGTCATAATTGAGAAGCGCTGGACGGCGAAGAATCAAATCAACACCACCAAAACGGTTCAAGAAAGTGAGCAATCTTTCTACATCTTCAAATGATTTGAGACAAAAAGCCTTGGTTAAGTTGGCATTGTTGAGAACGTGAGCAATCTTTTCTTGGGGCATCCCAAGTTGGAGTAACAATCTAACCTTTGCTTCAAATCCTGCAAGAAACCTCGGTTCTGTTGAGTTAAAAAGATGTTCAATTTGTGAAGGTTTGATCTTTCCTGCCAATTCCAATTCATCACTGAGAAGAAAACAAACGAAGGCATTGATTTCCTGAGCTGTTAAAACATCCGGTCTTTTCACGATCAATCGGGAAAGAGCAAGTCCACTGACACCAAGGGACTGCAAAGAATGAATTCGTGTACGTATGGATTGGAAGGGCGTGAGTTTGACTACAGGGTGGGCGTCCAAAAGGGCTTCAGTATCTCTCTCATTGAACCCAATTTCTTGAAAGAGAGAATATAGCATCAGCCCTGAGAAAAATAGAGTATCATCCGCAGTTAAAGAAATGAACAATCATAGAAGCACATGAGGTGTTTGAAAATTGAACTCAGAGACAGCGAAACTCACCTGAATCCACGAAAGAATTGGTAGAGCTGTCGTTGATGGCGAGGGCGTTGCATTTGAGCAGTAAAAGCGTGGAATCTTGAGGACCCAGAAAGTGTAAAGGTAGTTTATCTGGTTTCTGTGAAGTGTTAGCGGCAAATGTGAGCTTCTGAGAAGGGAGCAAAGCTGAAGGAAAGAGAGTTCGTATAGGGGGAGATAAAGCATGGGAGAAGCAGGAAGGAGAAGGCGAAAGAGGAAACGATTTCGTTGGTGTCGACATGGCAGAGCCGCAGAGGAAGCAACACTGAAACTGTTGCTTAGCGATAAGGTAGAAGATGAAGTTAGTTCAAGCTATAGCCTACAAAGCAAGAGGATTACGCTGTGGCTCCTATAGTGTCAGTCTCCAACTAGAAACGGGGTAAAAAAGTTATTTTATAATTGGGTATATATACCGGCGCGCCAAAGTACGTTAATTTCAAACAATTTTACACGTTCCATCTGATAAAGTATATATATATATATTGACATAAAAAAGTTTGTCCATAAGATACTGAGTTATGTCACCGAAAGTAAATATTGAACAATATTTCCTAGAGTATGACCCAAATATTAACTATTAATCTACTAAAGTCAAAATAAGGAGGACCAACAAACAAAAGGAAAAATATGTAGTAATATAATTAACTTAATTTATTTTAATAAAATAAGAACAAAGCAAAGGAGGATATGATCTCCTAAGATAAATTATAATTTGAATAGAAAATGACACTATAAAAGCTCCTGTGTTTCATTTACGGTTATTCAGTGTTTTTTCTTTACCGATCTTTTATGAAAATTGCCATATAATAATCAAAAGAATTGGAATTGCGTTATAAAATCAACCTCCAGGGACCAAAGTGTGGTTTTCCGCCATTTTATCCCCAAGCTTTGACGCGAAATAGGTTATTAATTATTGAATATTTTCTAAAGCAGGGAGAAATTGTAGAAGAAGAAACCTGGTACATTGCAAAAAATGGGAAGCTTCGGCTGGCACTTAACTGGACTAGTCCTCAAACATATTCATCTGGCAGAATTGCAAATATTTAGTAGTAACACTTATCAGCAGCCTCACATCTCCAGGAAAAAATGATATCTTTGAGAAAATATACTGAAATAATTCGACTTGAGCAACGAGGCAATTTACATGATAGCTAGAACGTTTGCATCCTAATAAGCAGAACAAAGCGTTACATCAATAAAGAATTGCCGCAAAGAATTGTTCAATTTCTCTGCGCACTGGTACTCATATAATTCTTCCTGCTCAATTCTCTGCACATTATATAGTGGAGTATTTGTTTCTGGAAATCATGCTACATTACTCCAGAAGCAAGGTACAGATGAATTTGCAGTGACACAAGTGTGTTTAGTTGATTATTGAGCCTGGTACTGTCGATGAGATGGCTTCAGACAATTCTTAGCAGCGCCTGTTCCATTTTTCTTACTTGTTGGGATGCTCTTAATTAGAACAACTGACGAAGATGCCTTCTTTAATTTTCTGTGAGACCCAGAAAAGAAAATTATCAGACCTTGAAGTTTGGCTCACATACCCAAAAAAACAAGAAGGAAGACAAAAATTACAACTTCAAAATTCTTACAGGTTCCCTTGTTTCTTTTTGGAAGCCTGGCCAACAGTATCAGATGTCCTTCTACAAGTTTCTTCCAATTCATCATTCAACCAAATCTTCTGCATAAGACAGTACAAGTCAAGACAACCTAAAAATGATTGAAATAATATTCTTATGTTAAAACCAAACCAGCTACCGATAAGCACTAGGTACCAGCAAGTGCGGCTCAAGCACATACGGGGCCTAAAGCCGTAGTTTAATATGGGGCCTATATCTTTTTAAGAAAGTTATAAGATATATTTTTATTTGAAGTTTATTCTTCTAATTTTCTGAGATACAAAATTGTTAATAATTTTTTTTACAATCGATTTTCTCTAATAGTTCATGTTCAATTGACAATATAACCAACTCATTTAATCTTTCTTGAGATATTGTTGATCTTAGATAAGATTTTACAAAGCAATAGAAGTATAGAACTATTGAAAACTTAAAAGTATTGTTGAACACTTGAAATAATGAAATCTTTGAGAAAAAAGGCGACTAATGAAATCTTGGAGAAAGAAAGTGAGTAAGAATATCAAAGAAAAAGACAAAAAATATATACGATTTTCTGAGATATGAAGAGATTAGAAAAAATAAAGATTGACTTGGACAAATTAAGGAAGAGAAAGCAAAAATTCTAATGACGGAGTAAAAAGTGGAAAACTGAAACATTGGGAAAAGTATTCATCTACCCATTTTTAAGTAAGTTTTCTTTCTTTTATATTAAAAATACTAAATATTATTTTTTAAATACTTATAAACTTATTATTTTTAAAAAATGGGGCCCCCAAATTTTGGGGGCCTAAGGCACACGCCTTACCCCTTATTACTATGGAGCCGGCCCCGGGTACCAGGGCCAACAAGATTGCCTAATGTCTACAGTTAATCAACCCTTCTCCACTTAAATGTATGCAAAAGATCTATTGGCTTCTGATTCCTTTATGCATGTGAAATTCCAGATTATGGACTTCTATTAACAAATTAGAAGTTCAAGATAATGAACTTCTATTAACAAATTAAATATACATTTACTTATTATTATTTTATATAGACACACAAACAAATTTTTGTCTGTGTTGTATTTTATGTGTGTATATAACTTCCACTATGCAAGTAAACAGTGACAAGATTGAGTTGAAGAAAATAGCATTGATGAATCTGCCAATGAAGATACTACTAGTAGGAGTACTATTAAGCAAATATATCTCGGGAAAAAGCAACATCAGTACTTGAGACCCGCTGTGTTCTTTTTAAACTTAGCATCTGCATAAAAGTAGGAAGGATGTGAGTAACTGTGAAATAAGATCTTATAAACCAACCTCCAGCCATTTTAATGAGAATTAAAGAAAGGATCCCGCAAATTTCCAGCAGAGCATCTTAGAAACCAGATTCCATCAATTTTTGTCAGTGGAGTTTGGTCATCAGAAAAAAACTCCAAAATCAATATGGTATTTTGGGAATCAATAATGTTTTGGCGGCATTAAGAAAGAACAACCTAGGTTGTATTAGATATTTTTGTTTTCCTTTGTTGACTTTTCTTTATCTTATTTGATCTTTCAACATGTACTTTGGGTTAGTGAATTGTAATTAAAGAGATAACTAGATCTTGTTAAATAAACAACAAACTAAAATGACGTGTTGTATAGTATTATCCTTCAAATATCAATGATAGTGTATTCATTGCATCAGATTTGGACTTCTTTATATATTATATATTCTATCATGGCATACCTCTAAATAGGTATGTTCAGGCTTAGCACATGACTTATGATGAGGCATCTTCATGGTTTTCTTTATATTCCTACTTGTATGGTTTTTGTTCTCTCATTTTTTACTTTAATAGAACTTCTCTTTATTCTAAGTTTATAAATTCTTTCCTCTTTTGTTTGTAAAAAGTTGTTTCTTGTCATAAAAAGAGAGATTATGAGGCCTCCGGTTCGAGTATGTTGTTATCAATGTTGACAATGGAGAAGGTGGTAGTTGTGCACATATGAAAGTTGTTCTTTCATATATAATCTAGATATAGTAAATACCTAAGTTGCCAAATTACTGTTAATTACAACTAGAATATTTAACTTAATGTGTCATGGTATGTCAATCTATCTTGATCTGAACTTGTTAAGACCTAAGCCTAACTCGAAAACACAATGTAATGTTTATTTGTTCTGTTAAAAAATTTTCATTCCTAAACTAAAGTTATTGCATCAGAGTGCAGTTTTCAAATCAGCATTCCTTTCTTTTCTGATAAGGAAACCAACATTTTTTTATGGCAAAATATATAAGTTATCACCTGAACTATAAGCCAAATCCTTGTTACACACTTTCTGACGCCTTACACACTCAGCCTTTCAAAAGTGTATCTATGACACACCACTTTGCTTAGCTGGCACTCGCTTCTTATACACAGAAAAAGGGCGAGTGAGCTCAAAAAATTACTTAAAATTGAAAGAAAAAAAAAAAACTTAAAACTTTAACTGGGTTTTGAACTCATAAAAACTCAACAATGGAAGTTCAGAATGCCTCCTTCAATCCGTCCATTCAAATATTTTTAAGCTCAAGGAATTAGTTCCTAATCAACTCCAAGCAGTAAACAATCCACTTAAAGCGTTAGATCTCAAATTCGCATCAACCCAGAACCCAGTAATTATTTTTACATTATGTTCACCAGTGAAGCCTTTGAAATCAGCAGTTGATTCGAAATTCAACCAAACAATTGTTACCCAGTGATGTGAACTACAAATTCGAGTTAGAAATTGAATTTTATCTGTGGCTCGAACAATGAAACCCAAACCTCAAGTCTATTACATTAAAATCAATTTTTTTTAAAGAAAGTGTGGTGTCGTCGAGATCGAAAATTGAATTGCAATCACTGTTTAAGAAAGATTTGGGTGGAGTAATGTTCAAGCCACCATTGCCGGCAAAGCTTCAAAGGTTGAAGTCGAAAAATTACATTTGAATATGAAATTTCATGTTCAAATTCAAGTGGGTGTTATAGGTCCTTGATGGAAACACTTGCACAAAGCTGAATCTGATGTTTGGAATGAATGGAAAATTGAAACTGATTAGGGGTGGCTTTGAATTAAAAAAAAAGTAACTAAAAGAGAGCTGAATCCAAAAATAAGTTACAGACCTAAGAAGGAAGAAGACGAGGGTAGATTTGCAATTCTAAGTATTAATTTTTTTAAGTCGAGGACACGTGTCGCAACCTCATTGGTGCGTGGTATAGAGATGTTTTGTGAGACTGGTTAACTACAAAAGTAGTGTGTCATAGGCACACTTTTAAAAGGTTGAGTACGTAAAATAATTTTCGGCGTCAGAAAGTGTGTAACAAGGATTTGGTCCATAGTTCAGGTGGCAATCTATGTATTTTGCCTTTTTTTTTTATTAATGATGTATAAATAAATGTGCAACTTGAGTCGAATAAGAAAAAGAGCATGACATAACAACGTTAATTAAAAAGAAATAAGGATTTAGATACTCTTAAAATAAAGGGAGCACATGTCATATGCAGAGATGATATATTAAATAATCGGCTAAGTAAAACGAGGGCAGTACCATAAGGCTTTTTTACCAAAAAAAATCATAAGGTTTATCCACCAAAAATATGTAATTGGCCCTAAAATATGCATAATCACACCCACTATTAATATCTGTTGCTTTGTAATTATGTGTCAGGCTATCTGTCAACTTAAAAATTCATGAAATAACTTCAGAATTATGTCAATCTCAGAACTTCGAGTAAACATATTGCACCTTTGGGCAAAGCCACT